ATGGTCAGCAGCTCTCCCACGACTCCCAGTGGGTACAGGACAATGAAGAGGTTGTATCTGCGGAACAAAAAAAACGGGAAATGTATAAAAAAAAAATTTTAAAAAATGCAGACGTTTGACACACCAACTCACACACAATCACCGGGTGCTAACACAGGCCAGTGACGACTGTTAAACACAAGGTGCAAAACAGACACAGTAGTAAAATATAGAAAGTTACCACCTGAAGAGCAGATTCAAACAGCAGTCACATGCTTTGCTAGTTTTTTGGTTTTTTTTTACACCTGTAGTTACTGTGGAGATTCTTCTTCGTGCACTGAAACCTGACCAAACAAACAGGCCTGTCAGGAAAAATCTCCAGGAGTCATGATGGGATGTGACTTCAGCTTGGACGAGGATCTGGGTTTTCCAGTAAATACAAAAGGTTTGGTTTGGCACAATGTTGTAGCAGTTGCCTCTGGCAACTGTCAGCAACTGAACCACAACTGCACTGACACCTTGGCAATGGATATCAGTTAAGAAACTGGCAACCAGGCAAGACTCTTGAGCTGGAATACTACCAGTGCTTGATTACAAAATAAAGACAGTCCACTGAGCAGGTTGGTCTGGGCCGGCATTTGTGAAGACCTGCCACTGCACGTGTGTGCGAGGCGGCTTTTTCTGCCACCTTGTGTTCTCTCCAGCACAATACAAGCTGTGACTCAGGACCAGAGTGGACTACTGTGTTTAGTCAGGACTGCAGCAGAGGCTCTCAAAAGCGTCTCAGCGGATGTGAGAGAAATGTTGGGTGAACATTCCATGACCAAAACAGTCGGTCTTAAAAACAGGAGCAGCTGAACATGAGCCCCTCTCCGGGGGCCTGGTGGCTCCTCCGTGCTTAAAGACAGGAGGTGGAGGGAGGGAAGATGGCAAGTGGGGCCTGGAAGGACAGTGTTAGTCAGTGCTCAATAAACAAAACAAACGTCAAAACAAGACAGACAATCGAGAGTGACGATTATTTGTTAAGTAGCTGGTTAGTAAAGCTCTGACGAAAAACAACACAAAAAATGATATCTGAGAGAAAGTGTTGATAAAAAAATCATTACGATCATAATTAAGGGCCTGTGTGTTGAACAGCTATCAATGAGTATAGCTAATGTTCCTGGCTGAGACTCCAATCTTAGCTGAGCTGCTGTAGAAACTTTAATGAACCGAGGCATATATATTTACATTAGAAAACACACACATTCATTAAACCTACATCGACAATTATGAACACAGGCATCATAAGGATGTGTAACACTATTGCTACGTGGTGGAAACATATTTTAAAAATTCAAATCATTGTACGATACCTGCAGGCTGTGCTTTAGACCTGGACTTGGGCCATAAAACGCAGAAAATTGCCGAAAACGATCGCTGAGACAAATCTTAAAGTGACGGCGTCCTCAAAAGTTTTGGTTTTGACCACAAATCAGAAAAACTCTAAGTTAGTTGTAGTATTAGTAGGTGATTAGTTATTATTTTCAAGCAATTTCATATATATTTACATATAAATATATATTGAGATATATATAAATATATACTGACATATATATTTATTTACATAAATACACACAAATATACGTATATAGAAATATAAAATATATATATGTGTGTATATATGCAACATCAAACCATGCCACATGCTCACAGGCAGTGTGTAACACCGTATTCACAACACAAGCTCGTCGCGGCCACTTGGGTGACGGCGTCTCCACCTGGCCCATTTGATGAAGTATGGCAGGTGGTGGAGCAACTTGAACGTGTAGTAGGAATATCTGGTGATCTCTGTCAACGTCCACACAACCAAGAATAGGATAACACTTTCTTCATTCTGGATCTTGGTTTATAGCAGGGAAATGGAAGCAATGCAGCGAGAGGAGAAGGATTGATACGTGTGCACACATTCCCTGGACAAAGACTTAAAACTGAGTGTAGGTCTGGGTTGTTCTCCGTTTCTACACCATTAAACTAGGTCACTGAATACAAGATACTGCTGTGTTACCTGTCTGATGCTGTTGGTGACAAACCAAACCATGAAAATCCTTGAACACACTTGAACCCCAGTTACAATCACAGAAGTCCTCACCATTCCTACGGAAAAAAAAAAATATTAAAATTTTTTTTCTTACCTCAGAGGTTCACATGTTTGAAACAGTGTTTTCGATTTCAGATTAAAAAAAAAAACTCAAATCAACACATACCAATGGCACAGTGCCCCACCTGTACAAACATATGAATGGCAGGTAAATCTGTGTTAGTTGGACAATAACGCGAAAGCTTCTTCGTTTTCGTGGATGCCGAAGACAAGTGACGTCACACTTACCTCGACTAATGCAAAGGTCTGGAAAAACTTGAGGGTCCTCGCTATACTTCTGTACAGACCTTTGTGAGTGCCTTTTTGGAGGTAAAAGCGCAGCATCGTAATGGCCAGAACCAGCCACCTGCAGAAGAAGCAGAACAGGAACAGGAAATAGAAGAGAAACACACACGGGTCACTATCTGTGTGCACTTTCATTTGCAGATGAACACAGTATTGGGCCTGTTAACAGGAAACGTCTGTGAATATTATGGGATTTCTGAAAAGTCTTCCAATTTTCTGTAACCATTTCTAACATTTCCTGTACATGTTTTGCTTTCCAAAATATTTAATTCACTAAACAAAATAAAATTTGTTTTGTCAGTTTACTATTTGGTGAACTTTAAGACTCAAGATCCACCTATGGAAAAAATCTAAAAATTTAAAAAAGGAAAAAATGTACAAAGTTTGGGGTTGGTTCCTAGTAATTCATAAATTATTCTAAAAGTTAAAAAACAAAGTAACAATGTTGTGTGAGTTATTATTGGAACCATGTTTGTTTACACTTATATTATTACATCTGAGCAGGTCAACCAACAGAAGCCTTCAATTTTCTAAATATAAACTTTGACAATGTAAAAATCAGTACCAAAGTAGTGAGTGAATCTCTTAACAATATCGAGGTGTCGTCGGTGTACGTGCTGACTCAGGCGCAGCAGCAGTGACACAGACACAGGGAGATCCCACCGTCACAGACCACGGCCCTGAAAGATTATCTCTCAGCTGTGTACAGGGTCTGTAGTATTATCAACTTGGCAGGTTGATGGCTGAAGGGGATAATTGATCAAACTGATGATTATGTGATTGGTTTCTGAGCAATATCTGCAATTTAACCTTCATTTGTCCCGGAGACTTGAGGGCCGCAATCCAAAGAGAACTAATTGGCATTCATTTAGGAAAACAATACCCAACATTCATCACACCCTCTGTTTGCAGCCATTCTGAAGGTACAGAACCAGAAGCTGTTGTCCAGCCAAACAGGGCCAATCGTCTTCATTTGTTCACTAATTTACCGAAGCCGTCACAGCCCATGACACGTTTCTACACTTGGGAAATGAGCTCTTGTCTAGTGAGACGTTAGCATAATTTTTAGCATTTCTTGTGTTTTTCAGGGCAACCACAACCTGCCATGAAGATGGCCCAACCATTTTGTATTTACAGTCAATTATTCTATGGCACCAAATGTAATGAAAGCTTACACTACACTGGGCCCTTGGACTTTAACTCCCACCCTCTAATTAAATGGAAACACTTCTTGTCTTTGAATTAGGGAGACTTCTAGGGTTGTGGGTTAAAAATCTGCTCGTTGAGCACTTCACAGTTCCCGGGCTCCAAGCTCCTGTGTCTCCTTCTATACTTATCACTGCAACTGTCGGCAACGCCGTGGGGCCTCGACCAACTCAGCCCTATTTGGACACGGCTGCTGTCGCCGACACCACCCGCCATTCATTCACTTTAGGACACTTTTCTCTCTCTCGTCGTTTTCCTCCATTTAGCCGGTAGCCACTGCAACTTTCCTCTCTTTACATGAACCCGGGCCGCCAGTGCCTGGCTAAATCCGCGGAAGTCAACTGGCAACTTTGTGCCCGACACGGACAAACACTGACACACACACACACACACTCACTCACTCACTCGCGGACGTGCGGTCCTATAAACAGCAACACACGCTCACAGTTAGCGGCTGCCGCCGATCACCTCGCAGCCTCCGCTCAATACCAGGCCACAGGGGCGGGAAAACTGACGACACGTACCCGGCGGTCATGGCGATGTTGTAGAAAGTGAGCCATGCTGTGGCGAGGGCGCTTTTCGTTCTCTTCTTGTTGTTGTTTTCTTTTTCCTCAACCGTGCCGTCCTCCTCGCTGGACGCCATGGTACCGGGGGCAGGGTGGGGGAGTCAGGAAAGGAGCTGACAGCTGGGGCTGATGGGAGGGGAGCAGCGGGGTCGTCCATCCGCCTACGGCTCATTGCTGCGACAAGTGCGTGGCCTGCCGGCGGAGTCCGGATAGAAACATAAAAAAATAAAAATAAATAAAACAATATTTATATATAAATAACTTTACCCGAGGTGTAAAGTTCGTGGAACAAGACTTCTCCAGGTGTCAGTTCAGGTTAAAATCGACAAACTGAATAAAATATACAACACAGTCCATTTTATAAGTACAATATCTATTATTAGACATTTATTTATTTTGAGGTTCCTACATTAATTTTTTTTTAGTTCCTAAGTGAGGACGGAGATCGCAGTGGTCGACTGGATTATCGGTCTTTCTCATAACATTTTTAAAAAAAAGTGTCAATGAGACAAATATAAATATATCCTCATAATATAATCCTTCAAATGTATAATATCCTCATAAAACACATTGAAACTCTAGTTTTTGGATCTGTTCCCTGTTTTTGTTTGGTTATTTTGGACTTTTTGGACACCAATAACACTGGCTCTAGTCCAAATACCGACCTCTAACATATCTGGATCATGTTCTTCTAGACAGGTACTGTACTAACTAATTTGTGCTGGTCTGAGATCCGCTCTCATAGCGACTGA